ACTTTAAACTGTATAAATAATGTAAAATTAAATTGATTTAAACAGCCAATCATACGAATGTCTGCCTATGACTTAATTACACATTGTTCATGCGCATTGATCATAATACTTAATTCCGACTGATCCCGATTCATTACTGACCCGTGATTCAATCGATCATACACGTGATCACGAGATCACGATTCCTTACGTGTAACTTACCAAACGCGACAAACACATATTTACCTAAACTTTTGCATATACGTTTACATTGTTTTATTGTTTATATATTTTTGTACGGTCCCAACGCTCTTTTCCTTTTAAAATCAATATTCCTCTAATATGACCCCACGTACAACATATTTCGAATATTGATTCCAGTCGAACCGATTTATGCCATGACACTGATTTATTAATAATTGTGTTAGGTCAAAATAAAGATCTCAATCATATGTTGAGAGGATTCTAAATAGTTTATCGATAATGAAAATCCATACTAAAAGTATGAAAATACTTGAACAATACTTTACTCATTTTAATATTTATGAAATTTTTATAAGTAGGGCAAAAAAATGGTGGTTAGGGACAAAAAGTTTTTTGACTGAAATGGCAAACTCACCGAACATTTTTTACTATTTAAAAAGTAAACTACCTTACTCGTCTTAATGACAAGCTCGATTGATCGATTAAAATCACTTTCCGTTAATAAAATTTAATTCTCGACTCATTTTTGACATACTTTGATCCATTATAGCGCTTTTCAATAAAGTGTGACATCTGCAGATCATGATGTCATGTGAAATTGCGTAAAATCAGCTGATTTCTAGTGGATTTTTTAATTCTCGAGAATCTTATAGATTCTAGTATATTACCATAACTGTTACATAATTGTTCTATTTAATTTCAAAAATAACCTTCGCTTAAAAAAACATTAATTAGCATAACTGTTACATAATTGTTCTATTTTAATTTCAAAAAAACCTTCGCTAAAAAAACATTCGTTAGCATGCCCACTGCTTATAGTAATGATTTGAAATGCGTATAATACATATAATTATTCAGTAGCGCAAGTTGCAAACCTTCTTTATATTAGTGAAAGTCTGGTAAGAAAAGTATTACGGCTTTATAAAAAATGGGGAACTATAACCAATCCATGGCAGAAAGTACGTGGATCGTCTAAACTTAAATTACTATTGCAACAAGCGCACAAAGTAAAATTAAAATACTCTTTTGAACTTAATGATATTCTATTTTTTGCTGGACAAAGTCTACTTTTCTTAAATCCAATTCGGATTGAAAATCCTTGTAAATGCATATTTTACAGTATCTGTTCAATTACCTCTATCTGGCACATTTGACAAGTCGCAATTACATTTTTCTTGTTGTAAATTAATTCCACAAACATGCATTTCCGACAACTAAAACAAGCTCCTCGATGATACTTTGATTTGGTTTCTTGAACATCGGCCATTTTAGTTATTTATCAAGAGAAATGTATTACGTATATAAAAAAAATAAAAATAAATAGCTTTATACTGATTAAATCATAAATATGTAATAATTATTTTTTATATCGATCACTGTTCAAACATGAATAATTGTATATAAAAAATATATACAATTCTATATAATTTCATATAGATTCTCAAAATCCGATTCACTATTAGAATCTCGGAGATTCCTTTTTTTATCATCATGATGTCACACTTTATTGAAAAGCGCCATAATTGAGGCGCTTGAGAACGCCCTACATCAGAATATATTAAATCATTTAAATACATTTTTAAACCAAACAAACATGATTTTTAACATTTTCTATCCCTATATATGCTGTATAAACTCAAATCCATATAATAATTAAGTAGAACTTTTTACATTGTAAAAAAAATTATTTTGCTTCACCTTTACATTTGATTTTATACCAGTTAGCGGTAGACGTCTATTGCATTCTTTAGATTCATGTACATTAATCATTTTATTTCAACAAACTTTAAAAGTTTTTGAAAATAAATCAGTCTAGTAATTTGAGTTCTTTTATGCTGAAGATGGTATAAAGAAATCGTAAATGATATGCCATTGTTAAACGAGAATTGGTCATTAATTGTTCCGCAGCAATCGTTCAAGCAACCGACCAACAGGATATAAGTACGAAAGAGGCGAATGTAGTTTATAAGATACGTGGCTTAGGTAATTTATTATTTAGATGAAGCAAGAACTTGTTAATATTTCTAGAGGCCACCAGTATGGCTTTATTTTTAATAATTAGTCACAAGAACTAACTATACTATTAGAATCGTCTATTATGTCTATTTAGCTCTTATTCTCAAAAATGACCCTATTACTAAAACCTTCTAATTCGCTCTAAATTTCTAAATACCTCACTATTCCCTTTACATATTTGAGCGTTATAACACGCAGAAGTGTAAATTTGAAAATTGGACTAAGTATACAATACTGGGCAAAAATTGTTGAATAACGGTAATTTGGCTCAAACGGGCAAATGATTGGCTGACATGTGCCG